TTCTTGACAGGACAGACTTGCAGTTCTTGTTGATGAATCCTCCCACAACCGTCCAAAAACCTCCGGGGAAGGTTTTTTGGGACAGTTTTGTTGAAGAAGCCCTCCTAGAAGGTTGTCGGGCAGTTATTGTTTGGAGGAGGCCCTAGAAACAACGTGCGTTCCTGTGGGAAGTGGTTGGAAGGTTTAGGAAATATCGAATCCTCCAAAAACCTCCTTCGAAGAAACCGTCGTGAATCCTTCATGAGGAAGATGTTTGGATGGTTGGGTTGATGGGTCCTCCAAGAAGGTTCCAAAAAAACCTGCCCGAAGAAGGTTGTTGGAAAATGTTAGAAGGATGCTTACCTCAAATCTTCCGGAATATTGTTTTTTGTTCAAAGATCTTTGGAATAATCCTCAAAACAACCTTCAAAAAAAACGCCCAGGGACATATGATTCGGAATAGGACACCCTCCAGCACCCCCCCTGATGAAGGTATTTGAACAGGTTGCTGGCAGGAACCACACAACAAGCTTCAAAACACCTTCCTGAGATAATGTTTTGGGTTGCTTCTACGAAGGAGCCTTCCTGAAACCTTGAGGAAGTTGTGTGGCAACTGTTTTTGAAAATCCTCCAAAAAACCTTCCAAAAAATGTATGGAGGGAATTACTGGACGGTTGTTCCGATGAAACCCTTTTCGGAACCTTCCTGAGCAAGGTTGTTGGAATGCTTGTTGTAAGAATCCGCCAAAATCATTGGAACACAACCTCCTGGGTAAGGTGTTCTCTTGTGTCCGGAAGATCTTCTCAGCAAAAAGGAAACCCTTTTGAACCCTCCTGAAAAATATCCGACGGTGGTGTTGCTGAAATGTTCCAAAAACCTTCCTGGCATCTTTCTGAAACAAAAAACATTTCTTCAACCTTCATCACAAACCTGTTCAACACCTTCTGGAGAAGGTGTGTTGGAAGTTTGTTTGAAAGAGGCCTCCTTGAAACCTCCTGAGTAAAATTATTCAAAGGCTTTTCCAGGAATCTTAGAACAAATTTATCAGGGCGGCTTAGCCAAAGGAAACCCTCCTGAAACCTTCCCGACGGAGGTTTTGACAGGTTATTCTAAGAATCCTCCAAAAACCTTCCAACTTCCTTGTTGAGAAAGGTGATGATGAGAAAGAACCTCACTGGAATCTTCCAAAGGAATGTGTTTGAGTGGTTGTTTTGAGGAGCCCTCAAAAAACGTTCCAAAAACCTTCCTCGAGAAGAACTTCAAACTTTTTTGTAAAAAAGGCCCGCATGAAAACTTCCGGAGGGAAGTTGCCGGACGGCTCTCAGTATGAATCCCTCCTGCAGCATTCCTGAAAGTTTTTAAACGTTGTTGCAGGAATATTCCAAACACCAATCGAAAACTCTTTGTGGGTCGTTTCTTGTGAGGTCTGCAAGAAGAGACCCTCCTAAAACCTTCCTTCTGAGGGGGAGGGTGGGGCTCACTTCGTTCGGGAGGTCACGAGCGAAGTGAACCCCACCCTCCCCCTCAAAGATCGTGGGGGTTAGGGGTAGGGTTCGCATGTGGCCCCCTATACTGGGCTCTGTGTTGGAGACGGACGCTGTCGAGTACCTACTGGGTGCTGTGTTGAGAGCGGAAGCGCGGAGAACGGGCGGCGGGGGGCGAGCGGCGGGCGGATCGGGATTCAGATCAAACTCCGGAGGGCTCCCTCTTGCCTCGGGATGCTGCTGGATACTGGGTTCTGTTGAACATTGGCCGTGGCTCAATGGGGGGGTCACACATGGGGGGGTCAGAAAGGTCCCCTTTCGTGCCCCTTTCGGGCCCCTCGGGAGCCCCAGGGGGCTCGTTTAGGCACCGTTTGGGTACCTTTTCGAACCACCCTCGCCACCCCCCCATTTATGACCCCCCCATTACGCGGCGCCCAAGTTGAGCAGCGAGGCTGTTGAATACAAGGTGCTCTGTCGGAGACGGATGCTGTCGAATACCGAGTGTTGCGTTGAGCACGGCAGCGCGGCGCGTGCGGGCGGCGGGCGGCGGACCGGCGGCGGGCGGGCGGAGCGGGATGCGAGTAAGGCTCGTAGGGGTTCTGCCTTGCAGCGGGCTGCTGTTGAGTACCGGGTGTTGCGCTGGAAGCGGAGGCTGCTGAGCAATGGGTGTGGAGTTGGAGACGCATGCTGTTGAGTGCTGGGCGCCAGGATGAAGTCGGAAGCACGGCGGGAGGGCTTCCCTCCAAAAGCCAGTCAAGAACGTTTCTCAGGAGGGTTTTCGGCAGGTGTTTGGAGGATCCCCACCCAAAAAGCTGGACCGAAACCTTCCTCAGGAAGTTGTTTTAAAGGCTTCCTTGTAAAAAACCTGCCCTAAAAGTGCCTCTGGTAGGTTTCAGGAAGGTTTCCTCCAAGGTATGATTTAAAACGTTGCTCATGAAAGCTTCAGGGGGCGTTCCCGCAAAAAAAATCAAAATACCTTTAATTACCAGGAAGGTTTCAGGAGGGATTCCTCAAACAAAAACCTTCCTAAGAACGTTCCTCAAGAGATGTTTGAAGGTGTTTGGAGGATTCCTCATGACAGCTGTTATGAACTTTTGTTTGGCAGGTTTCAGGAGGGTTTCATTTGAAAACCGTGCAAAAACTTCCTCGGGCAGGGTCTCAGAAGGTTTTTTGGCGGATTCGTCTAAACAACATTCCAAACACCTTCCTCGGGAAGCTTCCGGAAGTGTTTCCTCCAAAAACCACCCCAAAATCTCCCTTAGGAAGGTTTCAGGAGAGGCTCAACCTAGAAACCTTCCAAAATCCTTCCTCAAACGGTTTTGGGAGGGTCTCCTTCTAAAAACCATCCCAAAATCTTCCGCAGGAAGGTTTCATGAGGGTTTTCTCTTAAACACCTTCCGAACATCTTCCTGAGGGAGGTTGTTGTAAGGTGTCCTCGATTATTAAAAGAAGCCTTCCGACAACCTTCCTCAAATACCCTCAGGAAGGTTTCAGGAGGGCGTCCTCCCAAAAAACATCCAAACACCTTCCCAAGAAAGGTAGTGTGGAAGGTTGATGCAGGATTCCTCCCAACAAACCAAACGAAAACCCTCCTCAGGAAAATGTCGGGAAGGCTTCCTCCTAAAAAAACGTTATCCGGAAGATTGTTGAAGGATCCCATATAAAAAACATAGAAAACCTTCCTCAGAACGGTTTCAGGAGGTATTCCTAAAACCTTCCAGGAGCCTTCTACTGGCAAATTTCAGGGGGTGTCCTCCTAAAAACCTTCCGAACACCTTCCTGAGGAAAATGTTCGGAAGGTTGTTGGACGATTCCGTCAACAAACCGTTCAAAAGCCTGCCTCAGGAAAATGTCAGGGATTTCTCTTTAAACCGTTCAAAAACCTTCCTCAGGAAGGTTGTTGGAAGCTTGTTGTTCCTCAGACAAACCTTCCAACAAACCTTCCTCAGGAAAGAGGCTCCAGGAGGGTTTCCTCGTAGACATGCCAGAATCCTGCCTCAGGTGGGTGTTTGAAAAGGTTGTTGGAGGATTCCTCCAACCAACCTTCCAAAAACCTTCCTCGGGAAACTTTCAAGAGGGTTTCCTCCTAACAACCTTCCACAACCCTTCGTCGGGAAGGTGTTCGGAGGATTCTTCAAAACAATCTTCCAACAACCTTCCACAGGAAGGCTTCAAGAGGGCTTCCTCCTACAAACCATACAAACAACTTCCTCCGAACGGATTCATCAAACAACAACTATGAAAACAAAAAAGCTTCCTCGGGAAGGTTTCAGGGGGGCTTCTTTTTTAACAAATCCAAGAGCCGTCTTCGGGAAAGTTTCAGGGGGGCTGTCCTGCAACACACCTTCCAAAAATCTTCCTCAGAAATGTTCTAAGCGGGCTGCCTCATAACAACCGTCCAAAAACCTTCCTCAGGACGGTTTCAAAGGGGGTTCCTCCTCAAAGCCTTTCAGAAACCTTCCTCAAGGTGGTCGTTGATAGGTGTTGGAGGATTCGTCGAAAGCACCTTCTCCTATAGCATTATTTAGGAAGGCTTCAGGAGGGGTTCCTCCTAAAACCTTTCCAAACACCGTCCTTAGGAAGGTTTGCGAACAGTTGGAAGAAACCGACCAAAAACCTTCCTCGTAATTGTTTCAGAAAGGGCTCCACCTCGAAATCCTCCAAAAACCATCCGAGGGAAGGTATCAAGGAAACTTCTTCCTATAAACATTCCAAGAACCTTCCTCCGGAAAGTTGTCGGAAAGTTCTTGGAGGACTCCTCTAAAACACCGGGCAACACAATCCCAAAACAAGATTTCAGGAGGGCTTCCGTCCAAACACCTTCCAACAAGAATGCCTTAGGAAGGTTTCAGGACGGGCTTCGTCCTAAAAACCCTCCTCAGACCTTCCTGGGGAGGTTGCTTGAACATGTTGTTTGAGAAATCCTCAAACCAACATTCCGAAAACCTTCCCCGGAAAGGTTTCCGGAATGTTTCCGCACAAGAACCTTGCGGAAACATTCCTGGGAAATGTTGCTGGAAGGTTGTCGGAGGATTCCTTCAACAAAATCTTCCATTTACATCTCCAGGAATGTAACAGGAGAGTTTCTCCTTGAAAACCGTCCAAAAACATTCCCCAGGAAGGTGTCAGGAGGGTTTCATTCGAAAAACCTGCCCAAAAACCTTCATCAGGAAGGTTTTGGAAGGTTGTTGGAGGCTTCCTTCATGAAACCTTCCAAAAAGCTTCCAAGGGAAGGCGTAAAAGCCTTCAAGGAGCCTTCTTCTGGAAGGTTTCAGGAGGGCTTCCTCTTAAGGAAGGTTTCAGGAGGGCTTCCTATTAAGGTTTCTGGAAGGCTTCAGGAGGGCTTCTGGGAGGTTTCAAAAACCTTCCACAGGAAGGTTTCAGGAGGGGTTGGCCGAACTGCCGCACCCAACTGGTTGTGGCGTATCATGGTGTATACGCTCTCCTGGACTCAGCCAAGAGGGCCTACATAATCCTGGCGCCCAGGACGGCCCTAGCCAGGCATGGGTGGTGATGTGTAGGTGGTTTCTGCGGAACCTCTGCTCACGACGTACCACTGGCGCGCCTTCCTCTCCTTGTTCTGGTGCAGGATTCGCTCCCCTGGCTTGAAGTCCACCACGCTGTGGACGTGGCAGGCGAGCTCGTACCTCTCGGAGCTCAGGAGAGACTGCAGGGCATGCACCTCATCGAGGACCTTGACGTACTCCGTGATCTTTCGGTGGTGATGCTGGCACCACCTCATGAACTCTGCCCTGGTGATGGCGAAGAGTACGCAATCCTTGATGGCTGGGACAGAAACCCCCATCTTCAGTCCCGCCTCCCCGTGGGCTGGACCTGACTTGGGGGATAACAGTACCGATACCGCTACTCTGAGGTCGGGCACGTCCTCCTACAGGCGGAGTTTGGACGAAACATTTAGAGTAACAAACAATACGATAACATAGTCCAACTATTCCTCCTGTAGAGGGACATGCCCGACTCAACGCTACTCCGCGGCCCTCCCTCCTCCTCCCTCCTCCCTCCGACCCCCTCCCCCGACGGCAGCGCCCTCGGATCCCATGTGGTGGGGCTCGGTTAGACGTGGGGACTGCGCACTCACAGCCTCCAGGGATTGGGCGCACACTCAACCTCATGGAATGGGGCTCCCTGGCAAATCGTGCGGTGACCTCTAAACCCCAAGAGACCTCACCGCACGCTCCGTGACCGCACCGCTTTGTGACCTTGGAGGCCCCGACTGCCTGCGACATCCTCGCAGAACGACCCAAGTCCTAAAGCGTGCGGTCACCCCGAATACCCACTGACTCACCACACCAACCCTCTGTCTGGGCCATAGCCCGGATCCCCAGCGGCCGTTCGGCACGATCTGGGCACCCCTCGGGAAGCTCCCGGCGAGGCGCGGCTCCTGAAGCACGTCCCGAGGCAGGGAGACCACCAAGAACCGACGAAACAGTCCGAAAACCCCCCAGGACTCACCACACCGCACCGCCCGGGGGGGGGCCCGACGAGCTCCTCAGAACGCGGTCACCCCGAATCACCACTCGGGAGACTCTCCATGGGGGGGGGGATCCCATGGGGGGGCAGGAGGGGATCCCCCCCATGGGGTCCCCTCCTGCCCCCCCCTCGGATCCCCAGGGGATCCTATGGGATCCCCCCCCCCCCTGGGATCCTATCCCCCCATGGGATCCCCCCCCCCTGTGAAGAGCCTCCCGAACCACACGTGGCCGCCGCACCGTTTTGGGGGGCCCCCGGACAGAGAGGGGAGCAGCCCCGGCGGGCCTCCGCAGGCGCCCCCCCCCCCGGGGGCACGCCCCGGGGGGCACGCCCAGGGGGGGCACGCTGCAGGGGGGGGGGCTCCATGGCGCGGGGGGGGGAGGGGGCGTCGACCTGGAAGTCGGGCCGCGGCGCCGATAGAGGCCCCCGGCCAGCGAGTCCCCCTGTTCCTGCGCGCGGTGGTGGGCCCTCAGGGCCACATCGGCGATGCAGGGGCGATTGGGGGTCGAGGCATCCCCCCGGGACCCGATTTTTAGCTTCTCCTCCTCCTCCTCCTCCTCCTCCTCCTCCTCCTCCAATTGTTCGCTCCTCCTCCTCCTCCGATGTTTCGCTCCTCCTCCTCCTCCTCCTCCGATGTTTCGCTCCTCCTCCTCCTCCTCCGATGTTTCGCTCCTCCTCCTCCTCCTCCTCCTCCTCCTCCTCCTCCTGTCCTCTTGGCACGAGAGCAGCGGGCCCCATGGGGGAAGCGGGCGGTCCTGGACCCCAAGGGGGACCCCCCCAGCACCGCGCTCCTGCCCCGAGCCCTCTGCTGACCGCTCCGGGGCCCGCGGGGGGCCCCGAGAGCCCGAAAACGGGGGGGAGCTTGAGCAGGGACCGGCCGTCCCGGCATTCCCACTGGCCTACCACGGAGGGTTCCTAGAATCCAGACATGCTCTAAGAGCAGCAGCTTGGAAGACTCAGAGCAGAAACTCGACGCGCTCAGACACGACAGCCTTAGCCAGAACTGTTCTACGAGAACACCTCGCAGAACTCAAAGGGCTCTTAGAACACTCCCCGGTGGGCTCACAGGCACGCTCCGCACGCTCCGCCACTGCTCGAGAAGCCTCAGGACCCGCTCCCCTCGTGGCGACCGCGGCAGAATCGGGCGAGCGAGGATGAAGGGGCTCCAGGACACACAAATAAATACACACAAATAGCAATATTCACCATATTTTCCTATATTTTATGGGTTCTTGTCTTTCCCCCCAATTCCCATATTTTCCCATATTTTCTGGGGAGTCGACGACTAATTGTCTCTGTGTCTTTCTTTCCCTCCTGATAGGATTCGGTCGGGCATGTCCCCGTACAGGCGGATCTTGCACGAAACATTACACATACTCCAACAAGCACTCAAAAAGATTAAGCACATCGTCCCCAAGCTACAATCAAAAAACCCTAACAAGGACGCGCGGCAAGGACGCAAGACCCCTGGAAGCCGAAGTTGGGATTTTTGGGGCGGCGGGCGACGAAAACCTCAAGGACGCAAGAGCAAGGAAGAGCAAGGACGCAAGGGTACCCTGAGCAAAGTCGCGAATCCTTATTAGGGTGGTTGACTGTATGTCCTCCTTGGAGGCGCGCGTCCGACCCGAACATGTAGCGCATCCATCTTGTAATACATCGTTTCCCGAGCGGTGTGGCCATAAAGCGCCCGCCACGACGCACATACTATAAGATTTCTCGGTGCGCGCGTCGCCCCTGGGGGGGCGACGCACATATAGTATGAATCATGTTGGGGTGACGCCGATCTCGGGCGTTGGCAGAACTGGGCTCAATGGGACCTGGCTTGATGATGCGTACTGGGGGACGCCCCCCCGCCCCGTTCCACTAACCGGAACTGCCGTCACCCGGAAAAAACCCAGCCACGGCAGACCTGGTTTAGTGATTCCTCGCCATCGCTCGGACGTCGATTCCCTGTGTTTTTTTCGGTTTCGTGCGTGGTTTTTTCGCCAAATGATCAAGGATGCTCCTCGAGGGTCCTCGCCGAAAGAAACGTGCACACGTCCGAGCGATGCCAAGGTTCTAACAAATTTAGGGTCTGGGGCCCTACTGCTAACTGGGCCCCCTTACCCGGGGTCCCTTTTCCTACATTTTCTGGGTTTTGTCTTGCCCCCCACTTCCCATATTTTCTATATTTTCCTGGGAGTGGACGATTAATTGTGTCTGTGTGTTTTTTCCCCTCCTGAGCTAACTGGGTCCCCTTACCTGGGGTCCTGGCTGTACCCGACCCTCGCCCGCTGGCGGGGACGGCCGCCTCCCAGAGGGGGTCCTGCGGTGGCCACTCCTGGGAGCCTCCCACTGGCCATCGCTCGGACGTCCATTCTCTGTGTTTTTGTTCGGTTTCGTGCGTGGCTTTTTCGCCAAATGATCAAGGATGCTCCTCGATGGTCCTCGCCGAAAGAATAATGCACACGTCCGAGCGATGCCAAGCCCATACCATCTTCTCGGCTCCTGCGAGTCGACGCTCACGAAACGCTGGCCGACGCTGATCGACGCTGGATGGACGCTGCTCGACGCCAGCCGGCGCGGAATCGGCGCCGTCTCTCGTCGACCCCCAGACGCTGATCGACGCGGAAGACGGAACTCGGGGGATATACCAGGCGAATGACCTTTTACCGAAGGATCCGAGGAGGAGGAGGAGGAGGAGGAGGAGGAAGAGGAGGAGGGGGAGGGGGAGGGGGAGGAAGAGGAGGAGGAGGAGGAGGAGGAGGAGGAGTCTCGTCTCGAACCCATTCAAGCAACGATCCATGCCTGGTCATATGTGCTCTGGGTTGGGGCGGTGGCCATTGCCTCGCCCCTCTCTCGCTCCACATCGTTCTGGAGCCTGCCGTGCCGATGAAACGGAGGCACGGGCGGATGCGCCCCTGTTGGCGCCCGCACGGGGGGCGCACGTGTGAGGCGCCCATCAAGTGGGAGTGATCTGGAGGACTGTTGCTCGCAGCACCAAGCAGCGCTAATATGTATCCTAAGGTGAGTGCATTTCGCGGGCGACGTCCTCTTCGGCTTCGAAGGGGTCGGGTTCCTGAGTGCCAGGGTCGGGAGCGTTCTGACTCGCCGAGTGCGAGGCGGGTCCAAACAGGCGGCGAGGAGGAGGGGGAGGAGGTCCAGGGTCCCTGGCAGGAGCGGAGACGCTCTCAAGGCCTGGCGGCGGGCGTACACTATGATACGTGACTGCTGCAGCGCGTGTCCTATCTACTTCTGGCGGCCCTTGCCCTTGCCGCCGCCGAGCTTCCTGGCCATGTTGCCGCGCGGCGCCTTGTTGACTAGGTGGCGGCCGCCCGCCGCGCGCATCTGCTCGGCGAGCAGCAGGTTGATGTCCATCAGGTAGCCTGGCATGTTGAGGATCGTCGTGGGCATCTCCGTGGGGCTCACCTGCTTGATCGTGTCGTCTCCGCCCTCGATGGCCGCCATGAGCTTCTCGTGGTCTGCCACCTGCGTGGTCATGAGGATCTGGCCTTTGAGGTTGAAAGTAAGGCGTGACTTCTGCGTCTTGCCAGGCTGGTCGAATGTGGGGCTCGCGACCATCTCGGTGATCCACGTCTGTGCAATGGTCGGGCCGCCGTGCTCGATCATCTTCATCAGGCGGGCGATGCACATCCCGCAGGCGGCCCGACGCTGTGAGGTGTCCTTGTAGTTGTAGCTGTGCAAAGCGTCTAGAACTGCGAAAGCACTCTGGCACGCTGGCGTGCCACGATCCTCCTCCGGGTGGTTCTTCTTGTCTGTGAGGAACCGCTGGAACGCCGCGTTGCTCTCCACGATGCACGGGTGGTTGCGATCCAGCAGCACGCTGACGAACCCCATGTGCTCGACCGCGCGCATCCTGGCCTCGAGCTGGTACACCAGGCTGCGAAGTGGGCCTGGCTCGTGCTCGTCCTCGTCCTCGTCCCCCGCGTCCATCTGGCGGCGCTGCTTGTGCTTGTCCGCTCTGTCCTGAGCTGCGCTGACTCTGTCCTTCCTGAGGAGCCACGACGCGGGCTGGTGGGCGACTTGCACCGCAGACGATGCGGCGCCTCCCGTCGACATCGCCCCTGCTGAGTCTCGTACCCCTCCACTCAGGGTTGCTGTGTGCGGTGCCGAGCGCCTCGCGAATCTGAAACGAGGGGAGGAGATGCTGCCGAATGTGCGCCTCAGCGTGCTCGAGAAAAACGGCGATGGAGGGCTGCTCCTCGAAGCAAACTGGGCACTCCAGGCTTTTGGGCTCTATGATGGTGGCCTCGTACCGTCCTCGATTCATAGGGCAATAGTTGCGCCTCATACTCGCAGCAACGTGATGGACGGCACTGGCACGATCTCTGAACACGCTCTTGCAGATCGGGCAGGCGTTCGTGATCGTGAGAACCCTTCCTATGTGGAGTTTCCCATGAGAGCCCCCTTTTGAGTTGGCCATGTGCGCCAGCAGCTGTTTTCGGCTAGGCCAACACGTCCGACATACCGTGCCATCGTCCCACACCTCCTGGCGTACGTACTCCCCCTCCGTCCTGTTCACCTCCTTCCTGATCCTCTCCTCCTCATCTGTGATGTAGAAGATCGATCTAAGCTGGGTGACATCTATCTTGACGAAGTCCGTGGGGTCCTCGAATAGTATACTAAAGATGGTCTGGTTATCTAGCATCGTCTGTCCTTCCTCGAGTTCCCGTAGTGATAGTATGTCTTGCTGGGCCTGCTGGGCCCAAGGGTTAGCTTTGTCGGAGACCATGCCATCGCTAAAGACCTCCCCGTCACATACCATACTTCCAAACACCGCGCTAAGAAACTGCACGTGCTCATCTTTGTTGGCAACCAATACTTGCATCCATTTAAGTCTTCTTATTCGTAATTCAAGGTAAAGACTGCCCATTCGAAATTTCTTAAGGATCTGCGTGTTAGTATCTACGATAACGTGCGTGTCGCTCTCGTTCATGCGCGCTGTGCCTCCACTGATTTTGAGTGTGGGAGCGCCACGCTTTCCACAGCAAAAAACCATCGAAGCCCAAGAATCCCAGGGCACCCTGGAGGCAAGCCTGGTGTTCCTCGGTGTGGGCCTCCACTGGCCATCGCTCGGACGTCCATTCCCTGTGTATTTTTTCCGGTGTCGTGCGTGGCTTCTTCGCCAAATGATCAAGGATGCTCCTCGAGGGTCCTCGCCGAAAGAAACGTGCACACGTCCGAGCGATGCCAAGCTCCAGTGTACAAACTCCATTGATTTTGAATGTGGGAGCGTCACGCTTTCCACAGCAAAAACCGTCGAAGCCCAAGAACCCCAGGGCACCCTGGAGGCAAGCCTGGTGTTCCTCGGTGTGGGCCTCCCCTGGCCATCGCTCGGACGTCCATTCCCTGTGTATTTCTTCCGGTGTCGTGCGTGGCTTCTTCGCCAAACGATCAAGCATGCTCCTCGAGGGCCCTCGCCGAAAGAAACGTGCACACGTCCGAGCGATGCCAAGATTCTGGCAGATTTAGGGTCTGGGGCCCTACTGCTAACTGGGCCCCCTTACCCGGGGTCCCTTCTCCCATATTTTCTGAGTTCTTGTCTTGCCCCCCGCTTCCCATATTTTCCTGTATTTTCCTGGGAGTGGACGATTAATTGCGTCTGTGTGTACAGGCTGGCCTGTTCACTGAAAGGCCCCGCGCGGAACGCATCGATCATGGGCTCGCGCCCCGGTGTCCCGCCCGCGAGGCCATATATGGGCACGTGGCCGCCACGGGGGTCCTCTCGGACCCGGAAGGTGGCCTCCCGGCGCAGGTGGTACAGCACCGCCAGCTCCCCGAAGCTGTCCCCGGGCACCAGGACGGCCACCTCTTGGCGGCGAGCACAAGGGGGGGGAGGGAGGGGGGAGGGCTTCTTAGCAGGAGGCTGCTTCTCAGAAGGCGCCGGCCTCACATCTATAGATGGGGCCCGCGCCGTCTGAGGAGCAGGGGTGCTTCTGAGAAGCCCTCCCCCCTCCCCTCACCCCCCTCTGCGCGTGGCTGAACCTCGTCCTCCGTCTCCGCGTGTGAGCTCGCGCGCCGTGACGGCGAAAAGACATCCGCCCCGAACAGCGTCGACGGCGTCGCCTGTCCCCCGCCCCCTCCTCGGCCACCTCCTCCTGCGCCCCCTCCTCCTGCTCCTCCTCCTCCTGCTCCTCCTTCTCCTGCTCCTCCTCCTCCTCCTCCTCCTCCTCCTCCTCCTCCTCCTCCTCACTGTCGTCGACTCTGCGTCGTCCCTGACATCAGCCGGCGCCTGCTGCCGAGACAAGGGTACAGATGTCATCGGAGGAGGGCCAATCCTCGAGATCCGAAGTCGTGAAACAAATGCGTCACATCGAACAACTCACAACTGGAGCCCCAGACCCCATCTTCCTGCGGCAACCTCTCGGGCGAAAGCGCACGGTGTGAAACAATGACTGGGACGAGTCCACTCATAGTCGGCTCCGGGACCCCTCCATCCTGACCCATTCCCCGAGGCGGATCCAGCCCAAAGCGTCCTGAGCGACAGACGTAAACAGTTCCAGAGCACAGACAGGCGAACAGGTGCGCAGGCAGGCGGCGAGCCAGCGGCGCCGAAGGGCCACGCAAGCTGCTCCTGCGGATGCGGGGGTGTCGCCCTCCCGCGAACGTGCTGGCGCAGCACCCCTATCGGGAGATGAGATCGGATCGGAATGTGCAATGCGTCGGGTGAGGGGCGCATCGGCACGGAGTCGGGATCGGATCGGATCGGCTGCGCCACGATGCACAACGACGCCACGCACACCTCGGGCATCATAGGGAACTCGGCATGTCGGAATCGGAGCAGATCGGACTAGCCAGAACCGACTGGAATGTACAGCGAGAGACGGACAACCACCCTTTTCCGTAAGCGGTGGAAAGATGTATGGCGACGGTTAGGTGTGACGCGACGCGGTAAGGAGCTCCTTGAGCCCCAAGCCGCGCCAGGAGAGGTTGCTGCTGTAACTTCCCTGCACAGACAGTCTACCGCTCGAGTCGAGGGCTGGCGACGAGCGACGGCGAGGAGGAGCGAGGACCCAGGATGTGGCGAGGGAGGGGGAGGAGGAGCGAAGGAGGGGGAAGGGCGAGGCGGGGGAGCGAGAAGGAGGGAGGAGGAGCGAGGGGAGAGGCGGAGGGCGAAGGGGGGGGGACACAAGTCGGGCACGCGGGTGCCGCAGCTGAGGTCCTGCCCCTCCCCACTGCGTTGTCCTTTCTCTCTGTCCGCCGACGCGTGGCACAGCGGACCCGGAACTCCAAAGAGCACCCCCTGATGTAAACCACCACCGGCCCCGAAAAACATTCGGAAGCCTGCGGGAGCATCGGGCAGGTGCATACCGCCCCCGAACCAAAAGACGACGACGACTATGGCGATGACGACGACGACGACGACGACGACGACGACGACGACGACGACGACGACGACGACTACGATGACGACGACTACGATGACGACGACGACGATGGCGGCGGCGGCGGCGGCGACGGCGACGACGACGCCGACCCCTCGCCCTCCTCGATGACGCCCGACGACGTCGATCGGCACACCAGCTCCTCGGCGAGCCCCGCCGCCCGGGCGCCCGGAGTGCCCTGCCGCGGCTGCCTCGGCCGCCGGCTCGGCGTCCAGGTGCCGGTCCTCCGGGGCGGGGGCGACCACGCCGACGACGGCTACGACGACGACCTCCAGGGGCCTCTGGAGGTCGGCGTCCTCGTCGTTTTCTCCCCTGCCCTCCCTGCTCATTCTCCGTGCGCTTTCTTGTCCGCTCCCTGACTGGGTGGAGAAGGTGGAGCAGCAGCAGCAGGAGCAGGCAGCAGCAGGAGCAGCAGCAGCATGAGAAGTTAGGAGGCAACTTCTGGGAGGTCCCCTCGGGGGCGTGCAAGAAGGGGCGTCAAAGAGGGGGGCTCGCAGATCATGGCCAGAGGCATGTGCGCGGACGAGGGGAGAAGAAGGGAAGGTATTGAAAGAAGAAGAGGGGGCCAGCATACCCGGAAAGATCTCATGGCCCCGGCCATGATATGCACACACACACACACCTAGTCATCCCTCCCTTCTTGGCTGCCTCCGATCTTCAGCCTGACAACAAAAGGCCAATCGGACGGACTAGGCCAGCCCAATAAGCCACGCTGAACCGGATTAAACGCAATCGGGCAGGATTAAACAAGATTATGCCAGGTTTGGCTGGTTTTCGACCATGGATCTACCAACGCCGATGCTGAACTCAACCTGCCAAGAGTTGCATACTAAAGGGGAGTCCAGCGCCGATCCAAGACATCCTTTCGGAATCTTCCCCAAGCAGTGCTTTCACCTAGGGGTCCTTACTTGTCTTCTGAGGAACTGGGTCTTCAGGTCACTCTGGCCGCCATGTGGCCGCCGTCGCCCGCCTCGCCGCCATCACTCGCCGCCCGTTGGCAGGGCCTGCGGGCCGCCCTGGCCGCCAGGTGGCCGCCGTCGCCGCCTCGTCGCCACCCATCGCCGCCCGTTGCCAGGGCCTGCGGGCCGCTCTGGCCGACATGTGGCCGCCGTCGCCGCCTCGTCGCTGCCCGTCGCTGTCGCCGCCTCGTCGCTGCCCGCCCCCTCGTCGCCGACCGCTTGGCATGGCTTCGCATTGCTTCGCACTGCTTCGAATGGCGTTGCGTTGCTTGGCACTGCGTTGCGCAGCACTGCATTGCTTTTCGTTGCTCTGCATTGCTCCTCGTCGTGGCATTGCAATCGCAATTTGTGCAAATCACATTGCGGTGCACTGCTTTACATGCATTTGCATGGCACTGTAATGCCATTGCCATGCAGTGCTTTGCATGTCTCTGTGTTGCTCCACCTTGCCTTGCATTGCTGACACCGCTTAAGTTGCATCTTGCATTACCGCGCATTGCTTCGCATTGCGTGTCTTTGCATTGCATTGCGTTGCGTTGATGCGCATTGCTTTGCATTGCTTCCACTGGTGTGCAACGCTGTGCATTACTTTGCTGTGTTGCGCTGTTCAGCGTTGTATTACATTAGTGTACATTGTTTTGCGTGAGAGTTGCAAGGTACCATTGGCTTGCATTGATTTGCATTGCTTCGCTTACTTTGTGTTACTTTGCGTTGCAATGCGGTGCGCTGCTTGGCACTGTGTTGCGCCGGTTAAGACTGCTTGTCTTTGCGTTGCATTGTTGGGCATTCGTGGGCATTGATTTGCACAGCATGGCATCACATAGCATGCACCACAGAGCTCACACTATGTAGCCTGTACTGCAGAGTTTGCACCACCACAGCTCGCACCACTCAGACTGCCATATATGTTCCCTCTTGGAAAGAATAGAAAGAATATTCGGATCTACCACCCCTCCCCCAGAATTGACCGCTCACCTTCCCGTATGGCAAATTATCCCAGCCAAACCAGCAACGCCCCCCGACCTCATCTTCCTCTGGAACAAACCATGCGCGCTCACTCGCTCATCACGAAGCATCAATTTCTGACACTCCTTCGCAACCAAAAAAAGCAGGACGAAGTGCAAACGCGCGCGCCGTCGAGCGCGCAAGCAGCAACCTTTCAAAACCTTGCAACTCGTAGGAGGTTCAAAATCGAGTGTCCCGAATACAGATAAAAGATATGGTTTCGCAACAGAAATTATCAAGCATACCTGCGCTCCCGTTTTTGCACATTCTTTGGAAACCATAGGTTCTGCCACATCTTCGTAACATGTTACCAGGCGGGCCTCTCGCTAGCACGTGTCGGAATCGTTCGTGCGCCCTTGCGCGCGTGCTGTCGCGATAACCCCTTGCAAGAAAAACGGGACGAAGTGCGCACGCGTCGTCGCGGGCGCATGCTGCAATCCCTCACAAGCCATGGGTTTCGCAAGGGTTTCCAAATCTACTGTCCCGAACACATATGACAGCTCATGGTTTTGCAACATCACTGTTCGCAAAAGCTGGCGCCCGCGTTCCTGCGACTTCTTTAGCCATTACTTCATGGTTTCAACATTGTCATTGCATTCGGCTAGACGGCCTCTCCGTATGTCGAAATCATTCGGACGCCCCTGCGCGAGTTTTTTTTGGGGGGGGCTCGATTCGTATCAAATAGTACCGTGCGGGCCACTCTCGCGAGTCGGCCGCGGGCGCACGTCAAACTCATTCCAAAACCTTCATCACAGGCTCGAGGACGCCGTCATCGTCTCTGGCGGGACCAACATCGCTACCATCATCATCGCGCCTACCGATGTCGACGTTGCCATGATACCGCGCCCGCCCAAATAGCCGACTCGCACTGACATGCCCGCTGGGAAGTGCCAAAAGGTGAGCGCCACCGCGGCCACGTCGATCGCGCCAAACAAACTGACCGCTGCGCGCGCGAGCATGCGCGGGCTAGAGCGGCCGCAGAAATGCACCAGCCAACACCAAGCACTCACTGCGATCGCCACCGCATGTGTTCTGCAAAACCAGCTGCGGGTGGGTGGGTAGGATGATTGCGCGAGCAATGGAGTTAGCAACTGCGGGTTCCACACGTGAATTGCACCACTTAGATTGCTCGAGCCGGCTCCTGGGCCGCATCCCGGGCCGCCTCCGGCCAAGGAGCTCCCCTGCCGGCTCCCGGGCCGGCTCCCGGGCCGGCTCCCGGGCCGCCTCCGGCCCGATCCCCAACCTGGGTCCGACCTGGGTCCGGCCTGGGTCACCACGTAACGTACGTACACCATCATATAGATCGCACCACATGGGTTCTCCTTTCCGGAAAAACTAGGATCGCCCCCACCCCCGACTTAACGGGCCACCTTTTCCGTATTGCCATTTACATATGATGATCCTGCCCCATCGTCCATCCTAAATATGAACTCGTATCATCCCTGCCAAACCAGTAACGCCCCCCTTTCATCCTCTGCAACATAGCACTATGCGCGCGCACTCGCTTGTTAAAGATCCTAAATGTTCGAGAGCTCATTTGCAAAAAACGGGACGAAGTGCGCACGCACGCATCGTCGCGGGCGCCTGTCATAATCCTTCAAAAGCCGTAAGTCCTATAAGGATTGCAAAATCGAATGACCCAAAACATATTTAAAACAACATATGGTTTTACAACACAAGCTTTCAACAAGAACTTGCGCTCGGGCTATTGCGAATTCCTGAGAAACCATAGGTTTTGCAATGCAAAGAAAGAGAAGAGCACAGAGGCTCTCGGACAAACGCGAAAGAGACAACACGCCAGCGGGCTGACAACGGCAACACTTCATTGATATATTTCTCTCCCTCCCGAGGTACGGATAAATCCCAGCCTCGGACTCTGCACCTTTCCTGGGGAAGCCAAAAGGTACTGATACTGCTACTCCCCCGACCTCTCCCGGGGTGCGCTCTGACCGGAATTTCGATGCGAATCCAGCCGTGGTGAAGAGGCCCTCCCAGGAGACCCAAAAAGGCAAAAACGAGCCCTGAGCATCGGTCTCTAAACATCGTTTCACCGATCCTACATGGGGATAGATAAAGGGGCCCCAGTACACACATGAATACACACAAATAAAAATATTCCCCATATTTTGTCATATTTTCTCGGTTTCTGTCTTCCCCCCACTTCCCAAATGTTCTTATATTTTCCTGGGAATCGACGAATAATTCTATCTGTGTGTTTCTTCCCCTCCTGATGAATGTCGGTACCTCTTCCTCCTCTGAGCCAGGTTGCTGGGGAGACAGCAAGGTACCGATGCCGCTACCCCCTGGACCTCTCCCAGGATGCGCTCTCACCAGAATTCCGAGGCGAACCCGGCGGCGGCGACGAGGGCCTCCCAAGAGGCCTGCAGAAGAAGAAGAAGCCGGGCGACGGGCAGAGGTACGGGTACTCCGGATTCCATAACAAAGTGGGGGGGGGGTCACATTCGGGGGGGGGGTCTGATTTGAGCTGTCTTGGAGGGTTCGGGGGGGTCTGGGCAAAGGGCCGCCCTTTCATGGATGGTCTGGGGGGTCTAAAAACTTCTCGTCTGGGAGGGTTGTGACCTCCTCCCGCCGCCCTCCTCCTCCTCCTCCTCCTCCCTCCTCCTCCTCCTTCTCCTCCCTCCTCCTCCTTCCTCCTCCCTCCTCCTCCCTCCTCCTCCCCTCCCTTTGATTTCGAAATCGGGGAGTGCCGTTTCCCCCTCGGAGCCCGGCGCTCCGCGCGTCTCCTCGACGGCGTCCTCTCGCCCTGGAGCCTCGTCGACAAGCTCCGGGAGAAGGACGGCTCGCTCTGCAGCAGCCTCTGCTCCACGGCGGTGCCCTGGGCGGGAGGAGGAGGAGGAGGAGGAGGAGGAGGAGGAGGAGGAGGAGGAGGAGGAGGAGGAGGAGGGAGGAGGAGGAGGAGGAGGAGGAGGCCCAGAGCCCCCGAGGTCTCGGGCGGAAGCTGGGCCGACAGAGCTTGACCAAATCGAGGGGCCCAGGGGCACACAAACAGATAGGCACAGATCCCAGGGTTCCCCTTTGTTTGCGGATGTTTCTGTTCTGGGCCCTCGCCTTCTCCCCCGCTTTTCCCATGCTTCTCGATGCTGCCCTGGGAACCGAGGGCTATTTGTGGCTGTGGGCTTCTTCCCCTCCTGGCGGAAGCTGGGCCCACAGAGTTCACGTGACGCAGAACAACATGCAGAAATCCGAATGAGCGACCCGTATCACAAAGATGCGCGATCAGGCTACAAGGGCGTTGGAAGGCCGCGCCGACACCCTGCCGGCGGGGAACGGCCGGCGCACGTCGCGAAGGCTGGGCCGAAGGGGCAAAGGATGCCAGGGTACCCCGGATTCCAAAATAAAGTGAGGGGGGTCACATTTGGGGGGGGTCTGATTTGAGCTGTCTTGGAGGGTTCGGGGGGGTCTGGGCAGAGGGCCGCCCTTTCAGGGATGGTCTGGGGGGGTCTAAGACTTCTCGTCTGGGAGGGTTGTGACCCCCTGCCTTTCATTACGAAATCTGGAGCACCCTTGGGCAGGTTGCCCATCCTTACTATGCGGGTTGACTGTGGGATGAGCGGGTCGCACGGTCTCACGCCATCCGCGACCCACCCGCGAACCACCCCGCGACCGACCACGCGACCCACCCTGCACCCACACCATCACTCTCGTCCGCGCTCGCGTGGTGCTCCGTGTTGCTTCGCTCCGAGCGGTCCCCACCCAAGAACGCGAGGCGGGACACTCGAGGAGCACCGGCACATCTTTAGCCTCGCGGCCGCGGTGTGCTTCCGCCACGCGCCGAAGACACGAAGTGGGGTCCCCCGGGAAAACCAGCACAGAGTGGACCCGGCGGCCGCGGTGTGGAGAGTGTACGAGACGGGTCGGGAGCCCTTCAAACAAAAAACACGTGTGGCAACCTCCACCTGTTGAGCAGGGACCGACTGTCCCGGCATTCCTATAGTCCTACCACGACATGCTCCTAGAACCCAAAAATGTTCTAATAACAAAAGCAACGTTCTTAGAACAGAATCCCGATGTGATAGAACAAGACAGACTCCGCCAGAAATGTTCTAAGAACATTTCGTGGGAACCGCACGAAGTTCTGAGAACATTGCTTGGTAGGGCCATAGGCGAGCCAGGACGCTCCGCCACTGCTTGAACCTGCCGGGCCGAGCAGACGCTTCCGGCGGCCGGCTCGGACTTCAAGGAGCTCTGTGCGCGCGGAGCGCGCTTTGAGGCGGCGCTGGAGGCGCCGCCACGGGGGATCTCCGGCGGCGACCCAGGTCCTGCAGTACACGCCGGTCGGAAGAAGTAGGTAGAACCATGAAGTAGGAAGGCGGATATAGTGCAGTGGGTTCGGGCCCGCCCACAGAATAACAAACAGCAGCCAAACCATGTCGACTCTTGAAATAGGAAGGCGCTTGAAGTAGATTGGGATCTGGGAGCCCAAAAATACCTACTTCCAACGACTGGCGTGTATAAGCTCGACTACGAGGAACCTTCCACGAGAAACCCAACACCGAGACCCCAGGGCGTCTGCTGATCTTGTGGTGTGGGGACGGCACGCTCTCCACTGCAGAACCGTCCAGGCCTTAAGGAACCCGAGGGCACCCTGGAGGCAGGCAGGGTGCTTCTTGGTATGGGCATCCACTGTAATCCCGAGTCGTCCACTTCGGCGGTGGACAAACCTCCCTTTAGTAAACCTCCCCTTAGTGAAAACGGCCTGGTACCGGAACCGACGGACCTGGACCCGCAAAAATGACGGCCGCGACGCCCTCTCGCGAACCGAAAACGGCCAATTCCTTAATCGACGTGTCAGGGTAGGAGGTCCATCCACCCCCGACCACTGACAGTCTCGGGGCCCAGCGAGGGGCGACATTGACGAGCATTCCCTGAGGCACGACACTGAGGACAAAAGGCAACATCGCAAAACCCAATACCCAGTCTTTCTGCAAAGTGCCACATCGCGAAACCCCATACCCAATCTTTCTGCTGTTATACACTTTCCAAGCTGGATCGGCATGTGACCGACCCTAGGGCGAAAACGCCCGGTGTGAAACAAGTGCAGCGCCAAGATCTCAGATAGTTTGTCCATGTGTTGGGGCTCTGGGGAGGGAGGTGGGGAATACAGGCCGCCTAGATGGAGTCCGAGTAGATGAGGTCGGCGGATCGCGCCGCATCGACGATGCATCGCCGATGCACCGCCGATGCCTCGCCGATGCATCGCCAAGGCCTCTCAGATGCCTCGCCGATACATCGGCGACACCGGCGATGCATCGGCGCCGTCGGCGTGGAGAGAAGGGGGCCCCACATCGAGCCGCATCGTTGATGCACCGGCGATGCGGCGCACTCCTCCGACCCCGTCTCTGGGGCGCAGGAGGCCACAGCAGCGCTGCGCGCCCTCCCCGGAGGCACTCGCCCGACCAAGTCATAGAGGGCACCCGCACTGTAGCACCTCGCTTCCCCCGCGGTGTGGCCAGGAGGCGCCCGCAACGGAGCTCACGCCGTCTGATCTCTCGGCGCGGGCGTCGCCTCTTTTGGGGGCGACGCGCACACACAAAACCAGTGGGGAGACGCCGATCTAGTCTAGCCTCACCCGGGACCCAGACCCCCGAAGTCGTGACTTTTGTTCGCAACGTCGACCCCTAGAGGTGTGGACCCCTTCCCTGGAAAAGGTGTTTCATCCCGAGTCGTTTGCTGAAGGCCTCGAGGCCCAGGAGGAACCCCTCTGGAGAGCGAACGTAGCGAAAAACTCCCTGTCGAGCTTATCTCACAACATGAGGGGACCACTTCCCCAGGGCTGGTTTCTCGTCCTGCGTTGCTTTTGGACGGTCCCGGGGCCCGGCGAGGGCCTCCGGAGGCCGACGAAGACGACGAAAGGAGTCTTGGCGTCGCAGCGCGGCAGGAGGCAGTCCGCACGCGCGCTCGGGCAAGCCTGGCGACGGCATCGCGATTTGCCCGGATGTAAGAGAGCGTGTCTTTATGTTCGGCGATGACGGGCGTCATTGGGGGGGGGCGAGGGGGGGTATGACGTAACGCCCCCCCCCCCGCCGTGTGGTTCCGGCACTGCAGTCGCGCCCGCGCGCGCGACGCGACGAGCAACGAGCGACGAGAGACGACGACGACGACGACGACGACGACGACGACGACGACGACGCGAGCAGCATGTAGGTGGCGATATGCCCCACTGCGCCGGTGTACGCCACAACGCTCGCGTGCATACCACATCGCCTGCGTACACCGCGACAGCCGTTTTGTGTATATTTTTTGGGGGCGGCAGAGCCTCAGGAGGACGGCGGTGACCGACGCCCCCTGCGCGTGCCACGGGGGCGCGGAAGCCCGACGCCGCCGACGACGCGTGGGCCGTCGCGGCTCGGGGTGCCCGCCGACGACGCGTGGGCCGTCGCGGCGAAGCCCGACGCCGCCGACGACTCGTGGGCCGTCCTGGCGCGGGGCGGCCGCCGACGACGCGTGGGCCGTCGCGGCGAAGGCGCCCTGGTGGCGCCGAAGACTCACACGGCTAGCATGGCCGCGTGGCGGGGGCTGCAGCGCTCGGGAGGCCTGGTGCCTCGCCAGCCGCCGCGCCGTCGGCGAGGCGCGCCGAGCTGGTGGGGTGCTGACCCCTACGAATGCGGTCAGCCCGAAGACGTCGGACGCGCCCCGCCTCGCCCACGCGCGGGGCGCACAGGGCCGCTAAAGCATTGATGCTGCCGAGGCGCTCCCTGGCGTAGGCGTGGCATCTCGCGCACAGCACGTAGCCGAAGGCACGCTGCACGATGTGGCCGAGGGCATCGCGCGCCCGCTGCGGGCCGTCTTCGGCGTCGGTCTCGTCCTCCGCAGGCACAGCTGGGCCCGCCGACGGCGGGGGGTGCTGGTGGCCGCGCCGTGGGGATCGGGACCTCGCAGCCGCCTCCGAGGTCCGCTCGCAGGGGGGCGTGGCTCTGACCAGGCCGCTGGCCGCGGCGGCGGCGGCCCCCGCTGGGGCAGGCGGCTGGCCCCCCGAGCTCGACGCTGGGCCCTAGGCCGCGGGCCGAGCCAACCGCGCTTGCGGTCGCGGGCCCCTGCCCCACCGCACTCGGCGTGGGGCCCTGGCCCCGATCAGACCCGAGCGCTCCTGGTTGGCCGTCGGCGCCGCCGGCGGCGGCCACCGCCGCCGCTGCCGCACTGAACGGCGCCGCCTTCCAGGCCGCCGAGGCGATCTCGGGAAAACGCGGGGACCGATACAGCACCTGCATCGACCACGTGGTCCGCGCCGTGCGCAGGCACACCGGGCAGCGCCAGGGGCCCGAGCCGAGAGCGCCGAACGCGTGCTCGGCGAGGAGGAGGCGGTCCTTGTTGGCCCCGTCGCGGGCCACGTAGCCGCGGATGCTGTCGAGCCTGTCGGCGGCCGCGGGGGCGCCGGCCGCGGCCGCCCAGTGCGCGACGCCGTCGACGAAGAGCTGGGCACGCAGCTGCCTCTGTCTCTCGGCCGAGGGGGCGCGTAGGTGGTGGGCGATCCCGCCTGCGACGTGGTCGGCCTCGCAGTTGCCGCGGCGCTGCTTCCACGTGATGATGCCGCGGGCGACGTGGGCGGCGGTGGCGTGGCCCTTGATCTTCGCGATCGCGAGCCCCGCAGGGCCAACGCCGCCGAAGTCGTGGAGCGCCTGCCACACCTGCCGCCGGAGATGCCCTCACGCTGAAGACGCCAGCGTCGCGCGGGCCTCGCCCCGAAGGCTGATGCCGTCGACGACGAAGCTGGCGTCGCAGTGCAGCTCGATGGGCGGGATGGCGTGCCGCAGGACGATGGGCACCGCAAGCAGCTCCGCGCCCTCGACGCACTGCCAGAGTCCAACTAGAGGCGCG